CCCCCCCCCGCCCCCGGCGGTCCCTCACCCGCCGCCTCAGCACTCACTCAATTGTCCCGCCGCCGGCTCCCGTCAGCCCGCTGGCCGCGCCCCGCATGCGCCCTGCGCAGCGCCCCCCCCCGCCGAGTGCCGCGCTTCCCGCCAAGCGCGCATGCTCCGGGGCCGTGCGCGGAGGTGGGAGGGGGCGGGTTACCTTAACTGCGCATGCCCGACCGCGGAATCGTGGAGGTGCGCGTGCGCGGCGCTGGCTCTGCGGGGCGGCTCTCGGCGCTGGCGCTGCTGGTAAGCGGCGCGTGCGCGAGGCCTCAGCGCCACACACAGCATGGCGGAGAGGCCGCGTTCCCGGCGGCGTGCCGCGCGGCCGTCAAGCAAGAGCGGCCGCAAAAGCAACCTCGGTTTCGCGACAGCGAGCGAGCGGCGGCGGCGGCGGCAGGTGGGGTGAGTGAGTGGGGGGTCTGCGGGCAGCCGTGCCGCGGGGAGGGGGGACGGCGGGACCGCAACGGATGGCTGCGGGGAGCTGGGCCGTGAGGCGGGACCTCGGCGTTGGTCAGGGGCGGTTCGCCGTCGGCAGGCCTGGCGCTTGCACCTTCGGCCCCGGGGCCGGGCCGGCGGTGGCTTTTCCGTCCTGCCGAGGAGGTGGCGGTAAGCGCGCGTGAGCTGTTTGAGGCCGCCGAGGTGCGGCGACTCGGCGTTGCGTTGGTGCTGCCGGTGTTTCCAGGCCCGCTGTGTTCTCCGTGCCCGAGACCGTTGGGCGTTCCTGAAGAGCCCGCCCAGGCGTGAGCCGGGGGCCTTCCTCCCTCCGGCCTGTGCGCAGGGCCCCCCTCCCCATCGGAGCCTCCGAGGGAGCTCCTCGGTCCTTGGTCTTGCCTCTGTGCGGCAGAGTCCAGCCCTCCGAAGCCTAAAAGGTGGTTTGTGAGACGCGTGTCTTGTATCGCTCTGTTTTGAGTAGGTTCTGCAGCGGGACAGCAAGTGGAAGCGTCACGTAAAAACGTTCTTTGTCAAAGCAGTTCTAGTTTCTTAGGTAGTTCCTGGTAGAGGCATAGGCCTCAAATTAGTTGTGTGTCTCATACTGGCTATTATAGAAGCTTTTATTGATTAAGCCAGTTTCTTACATCGGTGTAAGCTGGTATTGCTATCCTTTCGTTCTTATCCTCTTCTGTTCCCTTTCTCTTACACGAATGATCCTGAGACTCCACAATGTACCCGTCTGGGGAGCTGAGCTGAGGGCTCAGGGCTAGTGCTGTAGCAGCCTTAACCACAGACACTGCTGCTGTCTGTCTTCCCTTTCTGCCCTGGCTGTGGTTTCTCATCCCCTGTTTTGACCCACTTCCACAGTCACTGGAGGTTTTGCTGAGCCATCTACAAGAAAATCTAGCCTAGCAAGTCAGTGAGTAGTTGTCTGTATGGTTAGTTGTCTGAGCCAGCTCAGGAAAGGGCCAAATCAAATGTTTTACCTGATTCAAGGGAGGAAGTAGAGGGAGGCTAGGAGGACGTTAATTAGTGGGTAGATTGTCAAAGTTCAAACTTTTTTTTTTTTTTTTTTAGTTCAGTCTTAAAACAGGTCAGTTACCCAGCATGATATATCAAGTGGCTATAGAAACAGCATGTACTGTCACAGTTGAAGGGGTGAGTCTGCCTCTTTGGGCGTTAATGCTGGCTTGAGGTGGCTTACGGTGACTGTGGCAGAGTGGCATAAGACACCTTAAAATGTTGTTTCTACACATCAGGATTTAAAGCATAGTGTATCTTTGTGAAAATAGAAGCTAAAGCAATATCGTGTTTTAATGTCACCTCATCCCCAGGCCCTACATAGATTGTTTGTTCTTCCAACCACACGGCACTTCTGAAAACACTGTCTTAGTGATACACATCTGTAGTTCTGTCATGATTCACTCCAGCCATTCAAACAGTTATGCTTTGTTTTGTCACATGGAAAAGAAACAGTTTTTAAAAATCAGAAACTACTGTAGATGAAAAAATGCAAGTCACTAATCTGATCTCAGTGTCCTGATTTTTACAATGGAATAGCTTTGATTAGTGCCAGGCATTTAGCAAACTATGTGACTATGTTGTTGGGAACTACATCCCATCTGCATTCTCCCTGCTATTATATCCACACAAAATCTCCATTTGAAGGCAGTGCAGTACATAGCTCAAGGCTGGTTTTAGGTGTGCATCTGCCTGGCAAACAATATGGGACGACTACTACTAAAAAAATTTACTTAATATCTGAAAACTGGAGGAGATTTTTGCTTGTCAAAAACTGTGGGGAGAAATAAAATATGTATGAAACAATGGAAAGCAAATAGCATGTAATAGTTTGTGCTTTTTCTGCCTTCCAGATTTGGCACCCACAAATTCCAGATACCCAGTCAACAGTGTCACTGGTAATGGCCAGGTGATGGGCAAGATTCTGGATCAGAGAAACCAAAGACAAGGCAAGGTTTGGAAACGTTAGTGGAGTGTGGGAAGGCAGTGATAAATAATGTAGTTTCTAGGTGCAAACGAAACAAGAGTGTGACAATTGGTGAATTGTAATAGAAATAGAAGAAGAGGTTTTGAACTCAAGTTGAGAAGAGAGACATTTCTAGGGAAGAGCAGAAGTTGAAAATTAGGTCATTTTGTGGTGGAAGTACTGAGTAAAGTGATCTGTACAGCTAGAATGCATTTCATTCATCTGATGCTCTCCCTCTGCTTATCTGTTGACTAAAATGCATTTCTTGAAGTTAGCAGAAGATAAAACATCTCTGGTTCTTCAGGTCGGGAAGTTTCTACTGGAGGAGATCTGGGACCCCAGTGTTGTCGTAGGTCTCGGAGTCAAAGCCACAAGGATTCTGGCACTGTGTGGGATGGTGCTGCTCCAATATCAGTCTTGAAAACATACTGAAGTTCTCACCAGAACCCCCTTTGATTATATTTTTTGCCTCAAAGTTCCCATCCACTCTCCATTTGAACTGTGGTTTTGGTTGGGGCTTTTTTCGTATACAGTTGTTCCACTTCATTTTTCTGTCAAGCATAAATAAAGTTTTTGTTTCCCACTTGATAAAAACACTCTTTCCTGCATTCTGATAGACTTCAAACTTGCTAAAATATGCCAAAGAATATCTTGAAGACTTAGTGTTCAGGGATCAGCAGCATGTGTGCAGTGCGTAGCTTACAGCATCCACAATTCCAGTAGAGCAGAAATGCTAGGACAGCAAAAATATTCACAGTTTTGCTGACATATCTTATATCTCTATGAAAGTTTTCTACAAGCTGAATCCTCTGGGATCCACAAAGTGAAATCAAAATTTTAGGCTCACAATTCAAATTATAGAATGTATGTATGCTGTTTAACAGTCCTTCAGCATAAACATATGATACGTTTCAATGCTTTCATCGGTATTGAGAACTGGTACTTGACTTCATGTTCTGCTACTGATAATTAGCATTGTTCTCCACTTTTTAAACTTTCTATTGTGGTCCTTGCTGTCCAAATCACAGCTTAGTGCAAACATAATGCTCATTTTATTCACACTGAACTAGCAAAGTCCTGAATTTCCTGTCTTTGCAGGAGACCTGTAAAAACATACAAGGAAACGACAGTGTAAAAAGAATTGTTTATCATCTTCATAATACAGTATTTTCTTGAGCAGATACTTTTAAGACATAGAATGTCCATGCTGTGGCTGAAGGAATAGCATATCCCAGATACCTGTAAAATTAGTTTCCCTGTGTTGTTGATGACAATGTAGCCACAGAAGCGCAGACCTAAATGCAGTCTGTGAAATCTGCCTGGGACCTTGTGTGGATTGTACTCCCTGCTGCTGTGGCAACGCTGTCACTAGGTCACCCGGCTAGTAGGTGTCCCAGCTAATCTAAAGCTAGCTCAAGCATCTCTGCAAGCCACAGTGTTGGCTGTGTGACAAACATGCCAGTAGAAACAAAACACAATATGGAAACCATGTAGCAGATTATGTGTTTTGTACTTGGGTAATATGCATGCTTGCTTGTGTTCTGTATGCTTTCATTACAGGTTTTATTAACTTTAATCTTATCAAATACCCTTTTAACACAAGCACCTTTCATAATCAGTGAAGATATGCTTTGATACTCAGACATATAAGATCTTCTAAATTCCAGATTTATTTTGTATTCATGAAGAGGAGTTGTAGAGTTCTTTTTTCCCTTTAGAGCAAAATTTGACATTAGCCCTTAGAGGTCTTTATTATTCCTACACAGTTCTAATTCAGATTGAGATTCTCTTTGAATGTCATATTGCAATTGCTAGATATCAGCTTAAGGGATTTAAGTGATTACATCCTTTTTAATTTTTTGTTTTAAGTGAACAACCGTAGTTATGCTACATATCAGAGCAATGTTATTTGTCAAGACAGTGAACTTGACTGTGATAGTTTTGTTTTAAAAATGAACTGCATGTCATGCCTGGATAAAACCAAGTTAGGTAACAAACTTTCATCTTTTTAAGGAATATAATTTTACCAGATTTCAGTTGCTACTTTTCAGTAATACTGAATTCTGTTATCTTCAATCTTACAAATATAACTGTAAGGCTTCAAATTTAAATGGCATCAGGGTGTTCAGTTTTGTGATAAGTATCTGCATCAGTAATAATTGAAAGAGGGACTGATGATTTCCCCCCCCCCCCCCAATCTAGTCAGATCTCTTGTGTTGAATTTTAGGTTTTACAGTGGCTTGCTTTGGAAAGCTTTGTTTTCATGGGCTATTAGCTGGCTGGTTAGACATAGGACTCAGTAACTTAGGAAACACTACTGAGCCTTTTTCTTTCTAATTTTTCTCATAGGCATAATAAAGCAGTGAAAAGAAACTGAAGGAAGGAAGTATTACATGTCTTGCTGATCAGAAAACTGTTTCTGAAGTATTTGGACAAACTACATATATATGTAGTAAAATCTAAAAAGGTGGGATATCTTTCTTTTCTGTTTTATTTGGGAAACTTCATAACTAGTGAAAACCTTTTTCACAATTCTCAGTGGGGTTACAAAAGTAATTTTGTATGTTAAGGAGGAATGAGAAGCCTAAAACATATTCTTGTGAGTTCTGTGGAGTCTTACCAAATTCGACTAGGCTTTTCATGACAGGATTTTGATGAAGGCAGATTGCCTGTTAGTTTTTCTTTACAAAGCTTTCAAATCCATTTAAAGGCTACTCAGTTTTATAAAATAGACCATGTAGGAGAAGACAGTAGCTCTTCATGATTTCAGGGTTAGCTGCAGTTTTGGCTTCTTTTTCTTCCCAAACATTAAGTATTTCTCTAGGCATGTGGATATTTCATTCTGTTCCCTCTGGAATGGAAGTCTACAATGAGTAGAGAATCTTAGCCTTTTTTTTTTTCAGTATGAAAGCAACCTATTAAGTGATATGCAGTTCATAAATACAAAATCTGCTAGATGAAAGTGCCACAGCTATTGTCTGTAAGGACACTGTTTTATAAGTTTGTTAGGCATTTTATAAAAGGCATTACAGATGGAAAGCAAGCTCTTGCATTTGAACTTCTATGATGTTTCTGCTTCTGGTAGAATTCAAGTAAATAGAAACTATATGTTCCGCAGTGGCTACTAGAACTATGTTCAATAACAGAGTTCAGAACAAGCGTGGCTCAACTGTCTGCTAAAGTCTTTGCTTTCAGAATTCAGAGAATCTTGATATAAAATTGGGATTCTGACATCCAGCAGTACAATCCTCAGATTCTCACTTAAAGTCTCCAAAGTATGTGTTTGCATTCTGACCTGTGAAGTTCTTTATTCACATTAAGTTCTCCGTATTTCTAAAATTGCTTCTAGGTCTTTTTGTGGATCTAGCCATACAGATTCAGGACAAAGACTGCTTTATTTCTCTGTGCTGTTTTAATAGGTTGAAAGTATCTGGAGAGCATGGGTTATGATATTGAGCGTTTCGTTGGCTATGTTAATGAAGGGCTATTATGCTCCATCTGCCGTGATGTGTTAGAAGACCCGTTACAGGCTCCTTGTGAACACGCTTTCTGTACTGCTTGTATACATGGGTGGCTTGTTCATCACAGTAACTGCCCTGAAGACAGACAAATGATTGATGTATCTTTGCTGCGGCCTCTCTACAGGTATACAATAATCTTGCTGTATGTTGAAATTACATTAATTTAGGATTTCTCAACTTTGCTTGCATGGCTTCATCTCTTGTCATTTACTGTCACTCAAATTGTCTTTATCCAATATGCATATGGCAAAAACCAATCACTTGCATGAAAGCATTAGCATTTTCTGTTTATTATAACTAACTTTCAAGGTATTAAGATTTCAAAATGGAAAGAATACTTAGTTTGTTCTCCACCTTTTTATATCTTGAATGCTGATTCTAGATATCTGTCTGGTTATTATTCTGAATGTCTTCTACAGCACCAACACTTTCCCATACCTTTATAGAGAAAGCAGGCAAAGCAACTCTTGACAGCAGTCACTAAACACTGTATATCTTTTGTTTTTCTTTTCAGTCTTAACTAGATACTGTAGTGGGGGTTTGTAATGAATAATTCCTGTAGATATGAACCAAAATTCTCACCTTCAAATCCTTTTTTAAAAAGGTCTTTAGCCATAAGAATATCTGTCTTGAGCCACCTTGTCATGTAAAGCAGGCTGTTTTCACAAGTGTCTTCCATAATTGGTCAGGCAGTTGGACTAGATGATCATTGTAGGTCCCTTCCAACTGAACTATTCTTTTCTATTCATTCCTGCTATTACCAGCACACAGAGTTTCATAAGTAGACACTGCTTGCTGTTTAACCCATGTGTTGTCTAATCTTGGTCCGATTAACAGTTATGTTGTGTTTAAAACCTTCAGCCACAGATGTTAAATTAACTCCATTAGTATTCCCAGTCTTTTTGTCACTAATGAGATTTTACTGTCTGGAAAGTTGAAGTATAGTGTAGACAGAACCCTAGAGTTAAATTTATAGATTGTTTTGACTGTACTCACTGCAGTCAGTTTGGTTTGGCAAGTTTAGAAACACAAAATTTATATGATGAATGAGTAGCCCTAGTGTTTGCTATTGGTAATATCTGCTGAGCTAGTGAAAGGTCACAGTTAAAAATTTATTCAAAATAAAGATTTCATTTGCACTTTTAATTTTGGAGACTGAATTATCCATTAACATTGTTTCTTTTAAGCCTGTTCTTTTCCAGTATGGTGACTTGAATTAAAAAAAAAAAAAAAATTAAACTGATTATTCAGAATTTTTCCTAATGGGGACTAGAATCTTACTTTCTTTTCCCAAAAGTTGAAAATACAAATTTTTCAATAAGGTTCCCAAATTTAAGAACAATTTTTTTTTTATTTTGCACATAGATATATGAAAAATGATTTAAACCGTCTTCAGCTACATTGCAAAAACAGAGAATATGGCTGTGAAATGGTTTGTTCTCTGGAGTCTATAGACAGGCATGAAAGGGAGTGTGAATACAGTCAGATACCTTGCTCCAATGCCGGTGAGTAACATTCAAAGAAGTTGAATCCTTTATATTCAGAAAACATGTGTTTGTCATCTTTCTGCCAACAGAATGGCGATAGTGGCCATTATTTCCAAACAGAAATGCAAAGCTTTGACATGAGCTACTCTTTACAGCAGTGTTTTTGAACAAAATGTATTACCAATTTATGGCAATCGTGATCCTTAGCAACAATTTCTTATCCAAGAACTGACCAAAATGAATGAGCATGATGGACTTCAAATTTATGAAAATATAGTAGTGCATTTGTTTTGCTTTCTTTTAAGCTAGGAGTTTGTCATTCAATTTTGACTGTTCGTTTTGATGTTTGAATCAATGTAACAGCACCTACAGAACACTTACAGGTCACAATTTATGAAACAGCTGGTTGCCTCGTGCATGTGCAAGTGCTCACTCTGTCTCATGGGTTTTAACAAAAACGTATCTTGGAAATAAAAACTGTTTTAAGCTAAATTCTGGTTAGAATTGTGTTCATGTTAAGGTTTTTATTTAAAACAAAGCTACACCTCCTGAGGAAGAAACATACTGCTAAAAAGGAATATACTGTTAAAATTTCTCCGTTGATTTTATTCAAAATGTTGTATGTTCCTAGATGTAGTTAATTTCTAATTAATGACGCTAAGGGCATAGTCAAGTCTGTCATTGTAATTAATTATAAGAAGATTAAGGTACTATAATTGCTCCACTGGAAGTTATAATTTCAGTAAGCAGTAAATGACTCTTGCGGATGCTTTAGATTCACCTGTTTTACTTTCTACGGAAACAGTAGCATTTATGGAGTTACTACACTTTACCTCTGATGTCTGGTGTTCAGGGTGTGAGGGCTCTTGCATCTCTTGAACTCTTTCTCAAGAATACATTGGAGTGTTTTTTGAGTACCTCAATTACAAATCATTGTAGTTATTAGAAAAGCTCTTCTAGAGGGCTGTCTTTTGTAATTTTCTGGTATGGTTTGTTGGCAGGTTTCATTGCTCCATTGTTTCAGTTTTCTCACATCAGTTTTTTCAATGCAAATTAAATGCAAGTATGTATTACAGCAAACAGCACCTCAAAGATTAAACATTAAGACTATGAACTTCAAGTTTAGAGTGTTAAATGTAGCAATAATTTATATAGTGTTCATTTTTGGATCTCTACATTTTATTTCTAATCACTACAGATTTGTAAAGTTTGTATCCTATAATTTCTGTGGAAATGTTTTTATTGTTGCATCAGTTATTAAATGTTCGTAAATGTTCTTATTTATTTATGTAGTCTAGTATGTTATACAAAAGACCAACCAATTGTCAGGAAAACAAGGTACATTCCATCTCACCCACATCTCTCTTACTATGTCTTTGGACCTTTTTTCCTAAATTTGATAACCTAATATTTTTTACGCATGTGCAGTCATCTTAATTCCAGTCACTGCAATTTATGGTGGAAGCACAGGCAAGCTGCTAGGGTCTTAGCTTGGCATTAGTGTTGTCATTACTGAAGTCGCTTTAGTGCCAGACCAGCAGTAGTAGACTTTACAGAAAATACCTACTTTCAGTTTTTCAATATTTTCATTTAATGCATAAATACCTTAATAAGACTTTTTAAGAGTGTTTTCTTACTAGTTATGTGTGTTATAACTATATTTCATGTTCTAAAGAAATCACTTTTTTCATTGCTTTAACAGATTGATTGTTGCTTAGCTCAGGATATTACAGCTTGCTTGCTTGAGTGTTTTTGTTTGGAATTAATTAAAATGCTTTTGTTAGTTGTAAATGACTGGCTTACCTTACTGTTCCCTGTTCAGGTTGTACAGTTCAGATTGAACGACGTAACTTGGATGGTCACCTGGCAGTGTGTGAATATCGGAGCCGTGAATGCCCCAATGGTTGTGGCTACACCATTCTCAGCGCGGAAGACACGCAGCATAATTGTGTAGCAGAGCTAAGAACTGAGCTAGAACTACTGCGGTACAAATCTTCTGTTTCTTTGATGTTTGTGTTAGTCTGGGCCTAAAATCACTGCATAAAGCACTTCAAATACTAGCACTGGATTCTGGTATGTGTTAAATAGTCTATTAATGACTTGATACTAATGGGCCAGAGTAGCGTTATGTGTCAGCCTAGACTTTAAATTCTTACTGTTTTGATTCTTCTGCTGTCATTTTTTTTGTCCAAGTTGTTATAAGTCCTGAAATACCACTGCTTGCAGTTGAACAAAACTGAGCTGACTATATAAAATGACAAAATACCTAAGAAAGCTGGACTGAAGTTTGCAATTTCATTTTTCATTGGCCTGTTATAGACCCAGAGTCACATTATTTAATAATTTTGTTTAGTTTATAATTTTACAGGTCCAGAAGAATAAAATCTCTAATTATTTTGGCAGGTATAGACTGATAGATTAAACATCTGAGAATCTAATTTTCAATTTTTATTAAAATCCTGGCAGATGGTGAATATGACTCTTCTTACTGCCATCCTCTTTTTCCTCTTTTATATAAGTTTCTGTAACTTTCCCTTTCCGTGATATTCCAGTTGGACTCTTTTTTTTTTCTTTTTTTTTTTTTTCCTCCCATGCTCCTTCCCATTTCTATCTTTCTACTCACTGGCTAAGTCTTGTGCTCTTGAACATGGCTGTGAAGTCAGGCTCAAATCTGGTTTAAATGCATTGAGACACAAGGGATTCTGCTACCTGGTTTCTGAACTCAAGATGTTAATGTAGTAACAGCTAGTTTTTGGCTGTGAAGCTGTGTGAATGATTAGGTTATAATAGTTAATTGCATACTATCATTCAGTGTCCACCATAAAAGTGACAAGATTACATGTTTAGAAATACTATAGTATTCACACTTTTTATCTTGACTGCATGTGTTTAGTAATACTAAGGAAGCATATACTCTAGCTAAAAGGCAGTAAATCATTTAAAGTCATAAATACATGTTCTTAAGCTCATAGAATTACTTCAGGAGCGATACAGTTGTCCCCTGTACAAGCTGTGCATGGTCGCTTCAGTGCCCCCTGGTACAATGCACTTTTTTATGCTAGTTTTATTTAAATTAATAAATAGTACTATCTTGCCTCTAGAGGGATGTCCTGTAGAGTATGATGGGAATCACATTGGGCTGTTTGGCTGCAACAAGGCTTTCTGGAATTTGAAAAATCATTTTTTTTCTGTGCTTACAAGGCTTAACAAGGAGAAATAAACTTTTCAGGTCAGAAATGATCTGCAGAGTGGAGGAGGCAAAACATGAGATGGAGTCAAGGTTAGATTCACAGAGAAGGCATATGGTCCAAAAAGAGAGTATTCTGCAAAATGAAATTGAAGAACTAAAGGTAAATATGATCACTTTTTCTTTTTTTTTTCTTTCCTAACAGTCCAGCTTTTTGCTTTTCCCAGTTGTAGTCTCTTATTTTGTAAATGTAGTCTCATACAGATAAATTACATTAAGTATGGGGAGCAAATCAGGTATTAGCACAATGTTTTGCCAGGCTAATCAGCTCTGTTGAGAAGCAGGCTGAGTACTGTATTCATCTGGTTTATCTACTTCAAATTCATTTGGAGCTAACCTGGGTACCCCTGTGCAAGGACTGCATTGTTTTGTGCATACATAACATGTTGGCAAATCAGTCTGAAACTCATTTTCAGTCTCTAAACATAGGGCATACATCATTAATTAATCCAGTGCTGACACAGAGCCCTACTGCAAACACTGTGGTTCAGCTGCAGTCAAACGGTTGGAAAGTTGCGCTGTAAACTTCATCAAGTAACGAGCAAGGCTGTCTTACCTTTTCATTCAGTTGTTATATCACAGAATAATGATTTTTAAAGTCCAAAGCAATGGATGTGCTTTATAGTTTACATTTTTATTTTTACTGTATTTGATGTTAACTCCTTGAAGAAGATACATTTTCTATTTCAAGACCCCAACCAAAATAAGGTTTTGGTTATGTTCAGGTAAGTGGCAACTGGATAAATCCACTGTTTCTTATTATAGTTTCTTATAAACTTTTTGCACTTTTAGGAAAACTGTATTGGAATTTTTGAAACAAGACTGTCTCAGAAGGTGAATGCTGGATTGTGTCTCAAATTGTTTACATCTGTTCCACTATCAAAAAATTATTCTAGTGTTGCTTATTCTTTATAATCCATCATCTTACATGCATGGCCAATTCAACTTCATACTACCATCATTAGAAAAGAGTTTGGCTTTTGCAGTAAATTTGTATTTGCATTTCAGAGTCAGATGTCACGAATGATGTCAGATGTACGTTCTCTGATGGCTGCAGAGAGGCAGCACCGTCAGGAGCTGGAGCAGGCAGAGCTGGAAAAACGGGAATTAATGGAGCTGCTGAGGGGGCTGCAGAAGGACTGTCGATTAACTACTACAGAAGGAAGCAGGAAGTCAACAAGTTTCCGCCCTCTGACACGACTAGAGAGTGTAAAACGAAAACCTAGGGAAGTTACAGTTATCTGAACAGAAGTAAGCTCAAAAAGCATTTTCTTCCAATTTCTGTGACCATCTGGCAAACTTTTCTAGTTTCTAGGAATGATTGGTAAACTTTATATCATTTCTGATTTACTTGTTTTCTTTCAAAATCTGGATTACTACTTTATTTCCTCTTGGGGCATAAAAACAAATGGGAGAATTTTCTCTTGGGGAACACTGGGCATTAAAAACCAGTAATTGGCAAATATGTTTTTAGCTAATGTTTTTATAAAAAGGGGGAAGGAGACTTGATTTGTTATCTCTTCAGTGTATCATTTACAGGAGTCTTTGAAGCCTGAAAGCTAGAGCCTTTTAAAGTCAAAGATACTTAAAGGTTGTTTCCTTCCTGGTCCATTATAGTCCGTGTAAGTCTAGTTTATGCTTATACTTGAAACAGAAAGAAAATGTGATCATCAGTAATGACATTTGGGATGTACTTAATTTTGGGAAAAGTCAGTAATAGAATTAGTAAGTCAGTAATAGAAATTAATAGATTTTGTTTGTTTATAGTCTGTAGAAGGTCTATTTCAAAGGTTGAAAGAAAGCACTTTAAATTGTAATTCTACTGCTATGTAACAGCTTCAGGTGAGGTTGACTTTTACATTAGAGCTTCTCTAATTTCACAGGCTGATACACACTTAAGTCACTAATACCAAAGCGCAAGGTAATAGAGTCATCTAAAACCTTTTAAATAGATGTGTGAGTAACTTTGAGTTTGTGGGAGGGGATCTGCATTTTATTTAAAAATTTGAAGCTTTTATATGTGAAAGTATCAACTATTTCTACAGGGTCCGTTAAGCTTAAGAGCAGCTCATTTGGTACTCAGTATCTTTTAAAGCATATATAAATACCTAGAGTATCCTTAATTTTCTTTTGGCAGGTTTCAGGCTACTCGAACATTAATATCCACAACAGACAAATATTTGCAGAGTCACTTGGACTTCAGATGTTCTTTATTAGTATTCAAGTTTTAAATTGTGTAAGAGGTAGGATTTTTTAACAGACCCATAAATACTGAATCAAGGGGGTGTTTATCTGTAAGGACTGTATGGGAAATCTGTACAGTTCAAAGACTTTTCTCTAAACTTCTCACACAGCCTGTTCATGTTGTTTTCAGTGGTGTAACTAAGCCATATTCTGTCCATTGCAGTTCTTCAGTGGAGTAACTAGGGAAGAACCTGGCCTCCTGTTTACTGAATGTGCTAAATCAGTTTTGAACTTTCAGGAAAATGTGTGCGGGTGTAACAATCTGAATAAGCTAATTTTATAGTTTAGAAAGCAAATACATTACTGTGCATGTCTTGCTGTCACTCAGAGCAACGCTTTTATGGCTAAGAGCGTAACCAAAGAGAGAGGCAGCAACCTTCTTTAGCACATACACTACATTATGAAGACTTGCAGTCAGAGCTGTCTTAATTTCAGGCATTAATAAATCTTTCTAACTTGCTGTTTCTTTAGTATCACTGAAGCAGATGTGCACATGTTCAGGTCTTATGCATTTAAAAACTGGCAGAAATAACTCTTCTGTAAAAGTTTTGGGTTTTTTTTCTGAAAGAAAACATTCATAGGAAGAGTTACATCCAAATATTTACTTGTTTTCAGTCCTTGTATTCTAGATTAAATTGCAATCATTGGCAGTATTTAGGTCACTATAGCAGTCTCACCAACTCATGACATAGCACATCTCTTAAGCAGCCATATTTAACAATCTGAAACAGTAAGACAGTAGCTATAATTTGGAAGACCTTCATTCACACTAAACATTCAGTGGTCAATTCACATAAATCAGTGTGCGTATTAAAGCTGTAGATAGAAAGTAAGAATGCTTTTATTATCTTGTGTTCTAAATAAGCAAGTGTTAGTGTCTGTGGTCTGTGTGACTGACTCTGTTTCAGCATTCACGCTAATTCTGAAGCTTCTTGGCAACACCAGATTTCATGCTATTAGAATCAATCAGTGCTTTCTGTGTACTGTAACTGTGTGGTTTTGTGATGTGACTTTATCTACTTTGCTTAATGTGAAAGAAGAAAATTACTTCAAAATCCTATAGAACTCAGATGAGCTGGATCATCTTTCCCAAGTTGGAGGGCGGTAATGATCACCCAATCTTTTCTGTTCTGATCGCAGAAAAAGAATTCATTAGCTCTGTGCTTTCTCCATAATGGGATCTGCATATTTGTTTGTTTTAGGAATTCCACCTGCTTACTTATGACTAAATTCCTTCTAGTATAGGAAATAGGGTTTATTTAATATTTACTTAGCATTTGGTCTGCTGTCAGTCCCCTAAGTGACAGGCATGAAACTGTGTGAGAAAACAGGTCCTAGGTGGTAAAGAAGGACTTCCTGCTGCACAATCTATGTAACTCCCCTAGTTGCCAGCTCTGGAGAGTCTGAACTTCTAGTGTTGAAATATGGCAACAATTTGGGCCCACCTGCTGCTGGAATGACCTGTCAGCTTGGGTTTCCTTTAGCACTGAAGAAGCACTTGCAAAGGTATTTTAAATGGGTACATAGTAGCTAATAGCATCAGATCCCTCCAGTTACTTTAAGCTTAATCTCATTCCTCTGTGTTGATAACTGTTCTGCGCTTAAGAATTTCCACTGCTACTGAACCACTCACAGGGTGGCGTATGCTGGAGTATGGTCATCATTCTACCTGTCTTATAATTAACTAGGCTGAAATTAAATAGCCCATTATATTAATATTTTATCTACTTCTAGCTTTTCTAGTCTCATGTATTACACAGCTCTTAATAGCAGCTGGCAGAAGCAAGGGATTTTTTTCCTTTCTTTCAAATAGTCTGTTAATCCTTTTTATAAAAACAAAGGGTCCAAATATTGTAGTAGACTTGGTGTAAGTGAAGACATGCACTTGGAAATGCTACTTTCCTAGTCATGATCATATCTTAGGATTATATGAGACACTGCTAAAAGTGCATTATGGGAGGGCTCCAGCACTGGATTACTGGTATTAGTATTCTCATACTAAATCACACTTTAATCAGTTCCATTTCCTCACAAGTGGAACTGTTACTCAAGTGGACCCATAACCATGCAAACAGTTGTTGTATTTTCAGTTGCTTCTAATAGCACTTTGCAGCTAGAAGAGGGAAAGAAAAGACTGTGGAGCTGGGAGAGTGGAGAGGAAGAGTAAGGGCGGTCCGACTGTCTTCCCTCAGCCCAAGAGCAGTGATGCAGCTGCACCAGCCTGTGCCACCAGCTAGCTTACCAGTGTAAACTGCTAGCACGTGGCATTACAATTAACATAGCATTAGAATTAAAAGATTAAATCATTATCCACAATTAAGTGGGTACAAAATGTAATAGTACCAAACCTGAGAGATGCACAAACAAAACTCACAGAGAGCAAGCTGTCAAGTAAAGCATGTGAGACTACAAGGTATTACAAGTTGAGCAAATCCTTATCCTACACTAAATTGGGTGAAAAAGAATAACACTAAGGATATATTTAAAGAAATTAATATTTTAAAGCAAGTCGTAAGTTTGTCTTTGAAAGAAAATCAATGTATACATATTTATTCTGAAGACCCAAGAGGTCCGTTACAAATACACGTAAACTAGTTCCCTTAAACTGACTTCTCCACTTGAGAGGTCAAATTCAAGACAAAATACTGTTTCTTCTGTTTTCTTCAGCATTAAAGCTGCATTCCCTGTTCTCCTGCCCTCCTCCCAAAGCAAAAAACAGTTGGTGGTCTTGACCAGTATGGACCATTGCTGCTAGGATTACTTTATTTGGAGTGGGAACAGTTAATTTGGGGGAGAGCTTCTGGTAGGTTTAGATGAGTTTCAACAAAAGGTATGGAACTGAGAATTATGCACCTGAGTTGGGTGCAGGAGTGGCAAGGAAGAATTTTGCTGGACTTCCTAATTAAGGTGGCAGGTTTTAGTTAGTATGATTCTAGTACTACATTAACAGTCTCATATGAGATAAATTAAATTAGTAGCACACATATACAGGAGTTTCTCGTCAGCACAGAAGGGAATGGAATTACATAGTCAAGCAAAATACCTAATACAGTGAAGTATTTTGACTGGACAGAAGTGTTTTTATCTCAGATGTTCTTTGGTGTTTTGAAGAAGTTTAATGTATTAATAGATCCCAGCAAATAGCTCCTACAATTTATAGAAATGGGTAGCCTTGCAAATTAAATTTTCCATGTGCTGTCCTCTTCGATGTTTCTGGCATGGTGCTCTTCTACAGCCATTTTACTTAGAAGTGCTGGATAGTATTTAAAAGGAGCAGTACTAGCCTTGCCTTTCTCCGGTACTGCTTGTAGGATGAGGTATGGTAGGTCAGGGAGGTCTTACCACATAGATAGATGCCTTTATAAAGACCTACAATTCTATGCAACTTTCTATTAACAAATAAACATTGAACTGTCTTCCAGCATTGTGGTTCACTGCCAATCTATTTACGTTTTCTACCTTTATATACACAAGAAGGATAAAACAGTGCTTAACAGAGCTTAATCTGTAGTCTGTAAAAGAAACAGTAACACTATTTGTATCACTTTGAAGTGCACTTTGTATAAAAGTTGAACCAATAAAGGGTCTATACCATAACTGATGCAGTTTTGTTCGCTTTTTTCCATTACAGAAGTTTGAGTACCCTCTTTATCAGATGAAATAGCAAAATTTAGGTATGCTGGCTGCACAGTGCAGGAAGTCAGGAATAAATGACAATATAGGGCCAGTGCATTGGAATAGGTAAGGCCGTATTTTGCCAAATAGAGGGAGTATATAGCAATAAACAAGGCAGGTGTTGAATCAAACACTATCCCTTCTCAAGGATTTTTCTCCTGCCTCACAGATGGGAGTTTCTGAATGGGATGAGCAGCCATTTTGAAGGCAAAGAGCTAGCAAAAATTGAATACTCCTAGACTACAACAGTATGCCACTCCAGTCCTGCATAGACAGCAGGATAATAAAGGGAAAAATTAATTTGCTGTCCATCAGCTGAAGGGATCTCATCCCTAATGCAGGTTTTTCATAGCCACTACAGGAGCCCATGTGGGATAGGAACACATAAGAAAGAACAGGACAAGAGAGTTGTTCGGAAGTTGTAATCTAGGGATGCATTTACTTAAATACGATCAATCTGGACACAGGGCACTCCAGAGCATGAACATGCTGCATGCAGTATGCTGCATTAACTGTCTGGAGCATATTCTCTTACCTGATGGGAGGAGTCACTCAGCAGGGAAATAAAGGCTGACAGCTTGGATGTCACAACTACAGAGAGCAGCGCAATAGCTTGCAGATAACCCGTTTATCTGCTTATGACTATCCATCTGCATCTGGCCTTCAGCCAGTATAGAATAATAAAGACTGCCCAGCTGCTAAAGATTTTGGAAGTAAAAAAAAAGTGCACACAACTTGTCTCCCCCTTATCCCATATACAAACTATGCATTTTTTCTGTCCATTAACTAGGACATTCACTGAACCAAGGCAATTCTTACACATTTCAGCCAGAAACGCAGCCTTGGTTAAGAGGGTCTCCTTTTCTTAGCACACACTCCTGCAGAGATAGGGTCTGTGTATTCAGCTGCAGGACTTTAGGAGGGAGAACTGTACTACATTGTGGTTCTGTTCTGTCTTACTCCTCCCAAGTGTAAGCGTACAATTCACTGAACAGCATTTTGACATTGGTATTAGACGCTTCCACTGTTCTGGTGCTCCAGGCAGGAAACAAAACTTGAAAATTTCTTTTTGGGCAGACTATAAAAAGCAAAATTTAATGCTTAAAGTGTTATTTACTTGTGGTAGGAATCCAGTTTAAAAGAGCAAATCAAATAACTCCCAAGTTTTAAACAGCATTATTTCAAGTTGAATTTATCCAAGAAAGGAACCACTGTGCATTGAAGGGTCACAGAACTAAATTCATCAAAAAAAAAAAACAAAAAACCCAAATAAAACATGATAGACGTATACTTCTTTTTCAAGTTTAACTAAATTTACAGAGCTTCCATACATCAAACAATTTAACCAACCCTTTATTTCATCCTAGTTTGAAAATGACTAGTGTGACATGCCATATATTTTAAACTTTCAGGAACCAGTACTGAATATTTACATATTTATTCCACACTTGACACTTTTCTTTACTTTTCATTTCAAATTCCCTGACAAAAACCAAATTATTCATATCCCTGCTAGTTTCCACACAGTAAAGTTTCTTAAAAAAAAAAATAAAACAACCTTAAACACATAGTCTAAAGGAGCTAGTCAGCTTTAAAAATATTTATGCAGTGCTCCTTAAAAAAATAGCATTAATACCTGTAATGCCTGTGAGAGCTCCACCCATTTTAGTCATTACAATTGCATTATTAGTAAAATTAAATCTCCCTGTTACTTTTACCATTGAGAAAATTGTTTGGCTTCCAATCCAAATCTTTGTTCATGTTATTTTAAACAATGTTAAAACACACACCTCTGTGAACAGATACTATTCCCTTTAACTGCGCCCAGTCAATTAACAGAAGTTTACCACTTTCATAGGTTATGTCAATTGATGTTGTGCAACCTAATCGCCTCTCAAACAGTGGGACAGTGTCCCAGTCTCCACACAGAGAAAGTACACGTAATAGGGGCTTTCTGCAGTTCAAATAAAAACCTACTTAATTTAGCCAGGCAGTATAAAGCTAAAAAAAAAATTCAATTTAAAGTACTACCATGCTTTAGAAACACTTAAAATTGGGTGTTAAAGTTTATGAGTCTAGGCAGACAAGTTGTCCAAAGTAAGTTAAGATTACGTAAAACAAGAACATTACAACTGGGCCTTATTTAAGCAGATGAAGACCCCTTTATAGCACTTTCGTAATGTCAAGAGACCAAAGCATAAGTGAAAATTGAGCTCAGCTAAGTCTGACAGTGGAGCTTGTTTGTAAAAATTTTATGTGGCCTTTGGAAAAAGCTACCACTCCTCACCCCAGCCAAAAATGCAATAAAAGGCTATTGGGAATCAGTTAATTCTATGAAATCCCACGGAGCCCAGAGGAATGCAAACATGTAAAAAGCTTACTTCAATCACTGAATTTAGTATGAAAATAAATCTAGAGTTGAATCTAGTGGTAACATTTCTTTATGAAATCCTACTTCTCAAAGTTTTTCTTTTCGCATTGTATCTCAGTCTAATTACAGAAACAAAAGTCCAAACCATCTATTCAAAGGGAAGCTTTAGCGTTACTGCTTCACTATGTGGTTGTTCAGCTCACACATCTGTCTCTATGCCTTCTCCTCGACTATGGAAGTCAGCAGAGAGGCAGGCAAGTAATTAACCCAGGCTGTCTCAGAGTACAGATATCTTGCCTTTTAACTTGAAAGCATACTCTGTTTTCCAGTGAAATAACTCTTGGGCTCCTAATGCATGAGCTGGAGTTGTAAATGCTAGAACATTATCTTATTCTCCCTGAAGTCAATGACAGATTTTCTACTAATATTAACAGGTGTGGTATCTTATTTAAGTGTCTAAACACATTACCAAAGAGGTACAACAAAACCTACATAAATTATGTTTACATTTGTATTCTTTCACAGATTAATTAATTTCAGTCAATCTTCTATCACCTGCTACTTCAACTGCTGTCAGATGGACCTCGTTCATTAATAACTCAGACTGGCTAAAAAAAAAAAAAAAAGGGCTAATGGCTCTAAACCTGAGAGAAAAAACTAAAATTGCCTTACATATATATATTTTTTTAATTTTCTTGCAGTAATAAGTCACACACAAAACACCTGTACCTTTCATTTGGCACAATGAATATTTTAAAAGTCCTTCAAGTCTTAACTCAAAGAGGTTCTTTACTGAGTATTGTCTACTGAAGTCCACGAAAAAATTAAAACATTCTTTCAAAAGGAACAAAAAATTTACAATTGTACACAAAAAGTCTTGAATTTTATTGAAATTTCAAGTCTTGTATCAAACAAAAACTTCTCTTCAGCAAAAATATTCTCTTGGTGTCCTCCAGATACCAGTAAATTTGAATTGGTCCTTTAGTGCCGCTGCTTTCTTTGTCATCTTCACAGAAGTCCACATGGTTGGGCTGTTCCATTAGGTCTCAATTTTATCGTGTGAAGGAACGTACATGACGACCTCTTCCACTGCCTCCACTAACAAACTTTCCTCTTGAGCCACCACTGCTACTACTATTAGCACTTGTCCAAGACGGTCCAATTCCTCCCCGGCCTCTGGAAGCACGATCGCGAGGACTCGGTCGGTAGCCTTAAAGCAAAGAAAAGTATACTCAGTTGGAAAAAAAAAAAAAAAAAAAAAGCCCTAGGCGTAGTAGCTGCTGCAAAAACAAAAAAAACAAAAAAAAAAGGAGGCACAAACGGAGTCTGTTTCCTCCTTTTAATTTTCACTTTTCTTTTAGGCAAGCATTTTTGCTTTGATTGGCTCTATAATTACCATGTAGGTACGAAGACAACTGAATTGCAAAAATCTGAATGCAAAATTAAGATTCTGCGATCAAGTGTTCAATTCAGCAAGTTTTATGGATTACAGGGCAGTTCGTATGAAAGCATGTATTTGACACAGTCTCAGTGACAACTGTTCATATATGCTTAAAACATTTGCTGAATTTCAAGGTGTCTGCAGCATCCTTGCATGGTTTCATTTGTAAAGCAAAAATGAAATTCAAGGAATTTTCTATAGTTCGATGCCCATATGAATACCATGTACCTGCTGAACTTAATGGTCTCAATGGTGGCAGTGGACCCCTGTTAAAATTGCTTTGACCACCTCTACTGTCATTGTAGGTTCCCCTGGGCGTACTCTGTGCACTCCAACTTGAGCCTCGAGCACCTTCACGACGACTGTAATTTCCTAGATAGAGAAAAACACACCCACTGTTGAGCAAACAACACTTTTTTTTTCCGTTTAAATCTTCACAATACTCAGAGTGGTAAACATAATATTTACATAATTCAAATAAATGAAGCTGTTCTGCATCAACATACCCTCAGTATTCTATCTCAAAGTCTACAAGTTACTATATTATCCAGGAAATTAGAAGAAAATACCTGTTTTTCAGATAAGTTTAAAAGAATTCACATTATCTAGTGTATTAAGACAGACTCCTATACTTCAAGGTTTTGTGGTAAAGTAAATCCTAGTATTTATAACTTTACTAAATGGAAGTATTTTCTGTATCTACTGTGCAAGGACTTGCCCTAATTATGGGATGGAAGGGAAAGGAATGCAAACTTGTCTATATATGAAACAAACTTAACACTCTGTAGCTACTATCTCCAGGTTCACTGAAAATTGCATCTTGACTCTTGTCAGGATCTCCCATCCTTTTATTCAAAAGCCTCCCTTCAGCCCAGATATGTATTGTGATGCTTGATTTCAGGAACCACCATGAAACAAATGGTAGAGAGGGCTTTTTATTTTTCTGACTGCATCTCTGAAGCATTCCCAACAGTTGCTAAAAGAAAACAGCTAACTCCTTTGGTAAAAGAGGGAAAGAGGCGACACAGGAACTCGCAGCTTTGTTTCAATTCCACAGCACTCGAGACAACCTTTTCTAGCACTAAACAACTTATTTCAACAACGCTGCTTCACGAACATCTCTACACCAGGGATGACTAACTGCTAGTAAATTGGGTTAGTATTACTGAAGCATTTTTAGCATTCATTTACTCCAATTCTAATACAGGAAACAACATACCTTTTGAAGCAGGTGGTGTAAAGAACCTGTTCTGACTGTGAAAAGCTCCTCGTCCTCCACGATTCCCTGAGAACCCACCACGTGAAGAAATCTTCTGTGACACTTTT